TAAATGTAAATGCATGCACATATAATTTAATATAAGGCAGGCAACAATACTGTATTTTATATTTTAATATGTCTTACCTGACTCGCAGTTGTCACTGGGTTGGCAGTAGGAGCTTTAGGCGACACAAAATTAGTTATTTAAGATACTCGAAAAAATAAAGTAACACACTGATTATGCTCGTAAAAAAGGGAGTCCAGTTGTCGCCCGTAGAATTCGGTATGCAGAGGTGTTGTCAATCTGTTTTCGCGGTGCGCCTGCACTCTTGAGAGATTGTGTGATTGTGGAGAGGTGCTCATGCACTGATGAGAGGTGACGACGCGGTCTAGCCAGCCAGACTCGCAGGCGGTCAAATCAAAGGGCTCTGTGTTTCTAAAGATTTACCGTTATCCTTAGTGATAGAGACCCTGATTGGACCATCCCTTGTATCCGGCTTCGTAAGAAACAGATCACACAAGTGGCGACAGATGGTCACAACTATGAGTGAGTTTCTACGTGACCAAATAATGCAAATCGTTCCTTTCATCAGAGATTAATGGTATTTATTAGATTTTTATGGGACTTTCTAAGTGCGACAACTCGACTGTTATTTATTTTATTGAATAAATAAATAATATATACAATTATGATATGTGAGCATATCATTACAGTATGATTTAAGCGGTCTAGCGGATATTTACCAATAGGGTAAATCAGTATAGTACATACACGCCCACGGTGACACCGAACCGTATTTATATTAATACGTTTTCATACGTTAAGACTTTATAATCGTTTTAGCCGATAAACCTTTCTTGTTTTGCGGAATTTTCTGTGCATAGTACAAAAGTAACAAACTTTTTATAAAATTCGTTAAGTTAGTTCGAGTGAAAATGTACTTACCTGCAAAACTTTTTCAAACATTTTTGTTTACAATTTTTCTTATAAATTTCATCATAATTATTATGCATTATATGACATTACATATTAATTATTATATTATACTGTATATTTTGATAAAACAAAAAAAGTGTTAAATCAAAATGTTTAAGCAAAATTTTGTACTATTTTAATTTTATTGGGTGAAAGGTTTCTGGACGTAAAATCTATCTTTTTCGGCGAGCCAATGTTAGGTGATATTTGAAAAAATTGTTAGGCGGGTTAGGTTAGGTTTTTTTTTTATATGGGATGGGATTCATTCAATATTATTTTGTGTGATGGGGGTGGGGTGTATGGTGTTCAGTTGGGTAAAAGTGTATTACCGAATTACTTAATTACAAACACATCAGTACATCACCTATGCATTTATAAATTATAATGAAAATGTTTTTTTTTTGTTTTGTTTAAAGGCGACATGCAGTGGAAAAAAATGACTGATCCTTCAACACATTTGTATAATATTTTTTTAATATAATAAATCAAAATTGTTTTCTATTGTAAAATGTTTATAGATTGTTTTATAAATGCTGTTCCTAATACTTTTGTACTATTCAACATTTAACAACAAATAAAATTGATCATAATGGTTCGGGTCGTGTATTGAGTATAGCTCAATATACATTTATATATGTATACGCATTAGATATATGAGTATACAAAATCGACTCATAAACTGTGTCATTCTAAAGAAATGACGAGGGATCTTTTGATAGCTGCATCAGGTCTGCAGTATAATCGTATTCGCTCGGTAACTTAAATTACATTCGGTTGGTAGTACGACTGTGTAAGATCACTATGAGTTTAGGGATGTTTGAGTGCTGCATTTGGTTATTATTATCATCGATTCGACGAAATGGTCATTACGGATGTAGGGACTTTTAAGAGCACACGATAATAGTCACAATTACAATAAAGAAAATAAGGTTCTATAAAAAAAATCGTTAGGCATTCAAATCTCCGAAAAAATTATATACATCAAAATACATGAATTGTAACTGTGAATCGAATATCAAACACCAACCAGAGAGGATCATACACACCACAAGTACCACAGAGGAACACTCACTGCGAATGAGGTAAGTGCACACATATATATAAATTTTGAACAGGATATAAAAATATATACATATATATATATTTATTAAAGTAGTAAAAAAATCATACGCACCCTCTAAAAACAATTTAGTTTTCTGAGATTGTCTCTATTTTTATTCTATTACACTTTTTTATTATTTTATTCAAAATATTACATAATATTGTCTGACAGGAAAATGAATATAGTTGGTACTTAAGGTCAAAAGTACAATTTTTACCTATAAACTAGTCCATGATGAAATAATTAACCATTCAATATATATTAACAAATTATTATGAACAAATATATTTCCTAAAGGTGCTATTTTGCATAAAACTTGTGTATTCTATTGTATGCTCAATGTTGTTATTGTATCACACAAATTCCGGGTTGCACGAAAAATTAAATAATTTAATGGACCAAAGTTGACTGACTTATGTTTTTAATTTATGCTCACATCTTCAGCATTTTCCATGGGATTCAAAATTCATTTTTTTATTTTTGAGTATAAATTATTATACAGTCTTAGATAGTATTCAGAATACGGTATTTGGAATACTTTTAAAATATAGTATTCTGAATAACTATTTAGATTACATCTTAAAAGTTTTTTATCTAAACCTGTGGATTAACTCATGTAATACTCCGCGTCTTCACAACTGGCGAAAAAAACCGGTGGGCTTGAGTTTTGGGGGACAACACCGAAATAATTAAAACGCTTAAACTAATAATTTTACATTGTTTTTAATTAGGATGGGCTATATACCCTGTTTCAAAAGAGAACATACAAGGCGGCCACATGCAAAACCGTTTTTCTTATGTAATTCTGGTATATTCTCTTTTGAAACAGTGTATATACATTATGGAAATCGCCAAGTATTTATCAGAATTGTATGAATGCAATAATTGTGTACATTTTATATATTAAATTTAAAATATTTTTTTCACTTTCATTAAAATTAAATCCAACTAATAAAGAATGGGTAACGCTATAAATTAAATAGATTTTAGGTGCTGAACGGATGTGAAAGGATGAATTTTATATCTGGTTCTATTTAAAATTGAATTGTCAGGGGTCCAAAATATTTACAATGTTTATAATATAATTTGATAAGTCACTATCGTCAACAAGTTAAATTTAAATAATACTTAAAACAAATAATAATGTTAACAATCAAAATGAACAAAAAGCACAAATAAGTACATACAAAGTAGCTGGCAGGTAAAATAAATAAAATAAAATATAATTTATGATTAATAATAATTATTTCGTATGCTTTGCTATATTATTTAAAAATAATACTGTCTGAAGTGAATCGAGTTGATATTCCAATATAAAGGAGGTCAAAATTTGAAATTCCTTAAAGTTTTCAAAAGTGACAATTAAAACAAACAAAAAATTAAGACAAAACTAATATTTACGAATTTTTAGAAAAAAATGATTTCGGTTTTTAGTGTCATCAATTCCGTATAGATACATAGATTTTTCACTGAATGTTTGTGTGACCATTTTCTATATACAGCATAACATTTAAAAAATATTTTGACTCGTGTTGAAGTATTTGTAGGCATAGAAATGTTCGATTACTGTT